GTCCGTCAAGCTGTTGCAAATATTAAATTTAAATCTATTAGCTTGAAATTAAAAATAAAATAAAAGCTACAGGAATAATTTTTCATTTTTAAAAATCCATTGCAAACCTTCAGAATCGGAGTTTCCATAAATAAAATGTAGGTACCTTCAAAAATTTGTATACTATAAGGTTTAAATGTATTTTTCATGGAGGAAAAATCCATTTTGAAGTTTTCCCCCCAGCTTCAATTGAAAGCTAAAGGATTAACTTTTCTAATTCCAGAAAAAAAAAAAAAAATACTGTGCAGTATTTCAAATAGAAATTTGAATAATTTTTTAGTCGATTCTTCCGAATAACCAATCGAAATGACAATTTTTAACGTTTTTTGAGAAATGTAAAGTAAACAAAACTTTTTTTTTTCAGTTTTGAAAATCCTGCCAAAATAAAATATACATTTCTGAAATGCTACTTTCATCAAATTAGCAAATTTAAAGTTAAATTAATCTGTTCTGAAACAATATCACTTATAGCATAAAATTTTCTAGACAAACATTTCTCAACATCGGAACCTTGTTATTTTCACATCTCCATTGATAATTTGATGGCTGAATGCATTGATAGGTTTAGTATGGTGCACCAGAATTGACTTAATTTTATGAATTCTAAGGACTTTTTTTTTGTTTGTTTGTTTCTCATAATAATTTAAAATACTATAAAAATTCCTTACATTATCGAGTTACCTCTATAATGGTATTTCATTATTTAATAGCTAAGGTAATGATAAATAATTTTATTAATTATTGATATTACATTAAGAATTTAATAACTGAGATAATAAAATTATTATATTAATTAAATAATCTCAGTTATTGCTTAAATTGATGAGATTTTATTATCTCAATTTAATTTTAAATTTAATAACTGAGAGTGAGAATGTAATATCTCACTCTCAATTATTAAATTTTTAAATTGATTATAGAGATAATAATTATCTCAGTTATTAAATTAAAAATTAAATTTTTAACTGAGATAATATTTATATTCTTTATTATTAATTGCTATACTTTGGTGGTTAAAGTTATTTTATTTAACTCAAAAAAAAAAAAAAAAATCCTTTAGAAAAATAATTTGTTTTTAGTTTAAAACCTAATAAATAAAAATTATGCATAACACACACCATGAAAAGTATACACACTAAAGTAAGATGAATACATAGCAAAATTAAAAATATTTAGTGGAATAGGAAAAAACTTTAGAAATCATCCTTTCAAGATTTAAACGTTGAAACGTAGGGGCAATGAAACACGGAAGTGAAATGAAAGTATTGCTTGCAGCCAAGGAGTTTTCTCTAAAGGGGGACAAGCCTTGAAACACGTGACCTTTTAACCATAATATCACTTACTTACGATACACCATAAAAAAAAAAAAAAAAAAAAAATAAAAAAGTAACATTTCGAGGCACAAAAAAAAAAAAAAAAAAAATCTTTTATTATGGTAAAAAAGTTTTGGGAGTATGATTGGTATTAAGATTTTAGTTTTCGCTTAGTAAATATAGTCTTCAATTAATAACCTACCTTGTACTCTGGAAGAATTTTAAAACATTTTTTTAAACTTTTATTTAAAAAAAGTGAAAACAATTCTTGAAAAAATTAATTATTCATCGAAATTTTTTTTTTTTTTTTTTGAGAAATATCTTTATCATAATGTATATTTATAAAACTAAAAGCAAAAAGCCTATCTAAGTAAATATGCTTATTGCAGTTTTTATTTTATAATTTTAGCAGATTTTTAAGACGTTGTGTGTAGTGAGTGGCGAAAAAAAAAAAAAAAAGTTTACTTTCTCCAAGGAGTTCTGCTTATAAGTAATTAAAATTTGAGAACTATTTGAAATTCTAGAAAATTTCATTAAGTTAAGTTGGGGTCGGGGAAACAGATGCAAAAAAAAAAAAAAAAATTTTTACCAAGTTTTTCTAAAAATAAAAATTTCAAAAATAAACTCACTCTTGCTTGAACAAGTCCTGAAAGTTTCATTAAAATCAGGCAATTATTTGATTTTACAAGAATTTCCAAATTAATATTTTACACTGGAAACTGCTACACACTAATGTCCATTACCACGAGTCTTACAAAGTTGACAAAAAATAAAATAAATAAAATAAAAATGAGCCAAATTTAGAACGTGTTAGAAAGGAGGGAAAAATGTTAAAAAAAGTAATTAAAAAATACTTTGTTCTTTCCTCTTAATAAATATTTTGATTTTTGAGGTTAAAACTTTGTTTTTATTAAGTTTGGGGCCTTTTATCATCATGCTACTGTTTTTTTGTTTTTTTTCCTCTCTTTTTTTAACGAATTATTGGAAGTACCTAAAAAGTGTGAGAACAAATTATTCAAATTTACAAAAAAGTTATTTTCAATCATATGATAAACATCATTGAGAATGTTACAAACAAAAAAAAAAAAATGTGAAACATTTATCATCGGACCTGTGAACCAACTTTATTGCACGGACAGTGAATATATAAGTAATGAGTTGAAGAAAACTAACTAAAAATGATTTATTTTACCGAACTAACAATATATACATAAATCAGGATTATGACAACTACTATTGTTTTTCATTATCATGAAATTTAAGCCTTTTCTTTATCTAAAGTTCAAAGAATAGGAAACATGAGCTTAAAGATTGGTTTCCAAAGTTATAAATAATTTTATTTTTGTTTATATTCTTTCTTTATGAATATTTAGTAAGTAACCTTTTCTGTCATCCAGAAAAAAAAAAGTAACTTTTGTTATTAAATATCAAATTAACAACAGTTTTGTATTTAACAATGCCCGGTCTCAATATTTTTTTTTTTTTTTTTTTTTTTTTTTTAACTAGGTCAAGTTTATTGACATTAAAACAAAACAGTCATCAAACTTAAACATTTTTTTAAAGATTTTGTTTTAGTTTTACAAATTGAAACAAGTAACAAAATGTTTTGATTTAAATCCGCAAAAGATAAATAAAAAAGTGACAGTTTTAAAAGTAAAACTAATGAAAATTTGTTTTTTTAAAGTGAAGATTTAAGAAAACTGAACTAATTGAAATTTTCATATTGATGAGAATAGAAAAGCATAGATAAGTAATATTTAGCTTATTTATTAAACTTTCAGTTAAAAGTGTAGTAGATATGAAGGTCGATAAAACAATATAATCACGAATCAATTTTTAAAAATAAAAACCAAGAAGCCTTTTTTAAACTAAAGAGGATATTTGCATTTTTTAATCTACATCAGTATGAATTAAGGTCCTGAAAAAGTCCAGTATTTATTTGTAGATAACATTTAATTTTTTTTTTTAATACATTTTAAGAAAAATGTTTAAGTTTCTGTTTAATTATATTAAAAAGTTTTGAAAATGCAACTTACAAAAATCAGTCATTTTGTCTAAAAAGGTTTGAAATGCTGCTGCCTTTTTTTTTTAGAAGTTTTTATCCTTTTAGTTTTGCTTAGCTTAAGCCTTAAATTTTTAATTTCGTGATCATCGGCGTTAAGAAAAAAAGAGGAGAATAATCCAGTTGGGAAATAAAAATTGTTAGGCTAGATTCAAGTTTATCGAATGAAACAAACAAAAAATAAATAGTGCATGACCAAATAGGACAGAAAGATTGTATTGCGTCAATTTTCCAAGTAGGTAATGTTTGTGTCTGCTTTGAAAGTATGCATTCAAAAAGCTACTTTTTTGTTTTGTTACCTGAGCTCAATATCAAATAATGACACGACGGGAAAGACGCAACATAAGACACCCACGAAGCAAAAGTATTTTTTACTCTGTCGACTACAGTTAAATTTCACGAAAACGATTTTACAATACATTATCATGAAATTTAATGTTTCTTTTTATTTTTAACTTCAAAGAATAGGAGACACGAGTTCGTAGAAAGAAACTTAAAGGAAGACTTCAGTAGAGATGTGGAGGGAGGTTTTGATTTGAAAGTTCTAAAAACAATTTTGCTTGTCATTTATAAATATTTAAAATGTCCCTGTCATTCAGTGGATTTGTAAATAAAATTAAGAAACCGAACTTACATTTTCCAGTAAAAAAACCCAAAAAAAACCGTTACTTTGCAGTTGAAACCAATAACCAGAATTTAAACTAAAGAGAAAATTAACTGGTGGTAGGTAGATTCTTATTTAAAAAAATCAACAACAAAAAAAAACAGTCGATAACTTAGAAATTTAGAATAAGTTTAGAAAATAAGATAAAAAATTTATAAAAATATGCTTAAACGCTTCCGAGCTTCACTAGCAACTCGAAAAGAACAATTAAATCTAATTTAAAAAATACAAGTAATTTGAAATCAAATAAAAGACAGTCGATAAATCGATACGCGAGTTTAGTTTCTTTCTTCTTGCCCCCTCCCCTTGTTTTACATTTTTACAGTTGACGTATAGACGTTATTTGTTAAACTTGATCAATCACCAAGTTTCAATATTTCATTTTTTTAGCTGTTTAATTAAAACTAAAATAACTAGCTCTTAAATAGTAAAAATAAGACTTAATCACTAATAAACCTTAGGAAATGTAATGCCAATTACTGTAGTCAGGTTAAGAAAACGGGATGGTCAAAGGCTCAAGGCAAGCTTATGTGGAGTGGTTAAAAATTCGGATAGTTTTTTTTGTTTTCTTTTTTAGGTAAAATAAAAACAGAGAGAAAATAAATTTAAAAAAAATAGAGAGAACATGATAATTCTGTAATGTTTATATTATAATTAGAAATTTCTGGAAAAACACTGAAAGTTTACTTTTACCGACAAAGTCAATGTGGTTAAAACTTTTCACGTGTTTTATGCTAGTTTTATGTTATAATACAGAATTCTTAGTTAATACCTGTCGATCCGAGATCGCTTATTAGCATATAAGAATTTTTTTTCACTTTTAATTTCAAAGTTTTTATATAGCAGAAAAAGGAAGGGGGAAAATTCGGGTAAAAGGTGTGAGATAATTTTTCCGACGACCTATTTAAGAAAATTAACTTACTTTGGTAAGGCTTGACAAGACTGTGTTCTCTCTTTAAGTAGTCTTTGGTATTCCATTCACCTAAAACAGTAGAAAAGACAAAAATTAGCAGAAGGTGCAAGAAGCACCCAACAAACGTGACTATGTTAGCCATGACACTTTCGGCAACTCGGTGTGATTCGTTCCCAGCATGCAATTCTCTTCCGGGCGAACAGATTACCTTTTTTGTAACTGTTACTTGTCATTTAACGCTTTGATATATTGGTAATAGGTCTCGTCGAACGCTAGCTCTTACATAGTACGTCAATAAGTTCGTAGCCTAATGATAAAAAGCGTATTTTAGTACAACAAATATTTTCTTCAAAATAATGTCCTTCTTTCGCTTTTAACACACAAACAGAATATTTTCCTCCCCACAAAATATACACAAAAAGCGCATAAAATAAACAAATTGAATTACCATATAATTTTTTTCCGGTTGCTTGTAATGTAAAGTATCAAGAATAACTTTCTCAGAAAATAATTGCTTAGATAAATTTCCTGCTGTTAATTAATATAAATAAACCTTAAATCTAAGTGAAAGTCCATAAAACAAGGAAAATATTGATTTAATTATTTTTAGTCATTATGGTTAGTTTCTGCAAGCTATAATCCGAGCACACAGAAAAACTAGAGATGAAGATTGAAGAAGAAACAACTGCATGATGTTTTTTGCTTTATTCTGATATTTTATTTTCAATATTCTTATCTTTTTTTTTGAATATGGATATGTAGGAAATTCAGTCAGCCAGGTTTTAACATCTGAACGTCTAAATTCCAACATTGATAAAATAAAGTAAACATTGTCATGCCTAAATCATTTGTATTTACACACATATGTACATTAATTTAAAAGAGTCAAAAATGAGTAAAAATAGCTGAGTTAAAATTTTTGGGTAGTTTAGAAAAGACTTTTAAACAGTTGGCCGACAGAGAAAAACTGTCGTTGAAAAAAGACTTTTGTAACAGTGAAGATTCACTGACCATCTTCGTTGTTGTAGTTGGAGATGATTTGTTTGAAATCACCAACACATCATCGTCCATGAAGACTCACTGATCATCCAAGCTGCTGCTGTAGCTGATTCGTTTGAAGTTACTGATACATGTTTTTCAGCAAGGGGAAAGGAAAAAGCTATGGAGCCACATCTTGTTGCAGATTGGCGAATGTATTTTGTGTATCAGAAGGTTAGGTTATCAGAAGGCTTAGAAATGTAGGTGTTCACAAGACATTCATCCACAACAAATATAAAAATAAGAACATTGAAGGTAAAATCATTCAGGAGGAATCAAAAATGAGGACAACGTGATTAAAGGTTTAACAAATAACATTAATTTTCAATTGAACGTACACAATCAAGATAGATATTGCTGATCAAGTGCGACCAGTTGGGATAAAATATGTAGAAGGATTATGCTGAGTTTCAATGTGTGTAGGCTTGTGGTTAGGATTTGTGTTTTATCGTATTACAAAATGTCTTTTGTGGGAGTTCAGTCACCAGTGCGTATGTGTGCGTTTGTTAAAGTTACTGTTCAAATTTTGTAAGGGTTGTGTACCTTTAGCTGTTGTCTTGATGTTGGATTGAGATTTACAAATACTGTTTAGTAGTGGGTCAATTCACTTTCTTTAGTATGTTGTAAGTAATGTTCCTGAGAGAGCGAAGTGCTGTTCTGTCGAGTCAGAAGAATTGGCGCGCGAAAAGTGTAGTTAGGTCAAAGTTTTAGCTAGCGTGGGTTTGTTTAGCATCCCTCCGGGGTTGAAGTTCTGACAATATTTATTACTGTGAAAATACAGCAAATGTGGCACAAGGCCGAAAAAGAGGGTGGGGAAAAGGACGGTCATCATTTGTCTTAATTTTAAAATTAATATGGTTATAAACTATTTACAAGAAACTAAACAAAGTCATGTTAGTAATAAAAAAAAACCTTAAATGTGGCAGAAATATCAGTTAAATGGACGAAATCGATGCGGGACTATAAGAATATAGAAAACATTCATCTATCCCAAGCACTCACATAGACATGCACTCATTCTGACACAACAACAAATACGAAAACTACACACGCGAAACGAAAGGCGCCCCGCATCCACCAGAGAACTGACATCACTGACCACCTAACGAGGGAGGAGATGGAGAGTTAAACTAAAGGAAAAAAGAGACAGAAATAAAAAGGGCCAATGAGCAAACACACCCTAGGTAAGTTTACTGGAAAAGAAAAGAAAAACTAAAGGATCAAATACAAAAACCTACTCTAGCCTAAATTCAAGGATGGGTTGCCCAAGTTCAACCCAGGAAAACAATATCCTGATGTCTAACCGGCATCAAAATGCCACTCCAGGTCAGCCCCTTTTACTCGGCACAAACGCGCAAGATTCACCCACCTTTTGCCAAATTCTGATGAGGTGAGATGCCCCCTTTCCGCCCTAATCTTGACTTTAAGCTGATGCTTAAAGAACAAGATCAGTTGGGAAGAAGTGAACTTCTCGCCATCATAGAATTCTTTCTGACGCGTCGTCCAAATCACGACTCTCATAACACCTAGTAAGCAACAGAACATATAATGTTCAGCCTTCGTCATCTGCGGCACCACATTGCTACACCCAGAACTGGCCTCAAGGACAACGAACTTTCCTTGCAGCATGCGGACCATGAGGCCTTCAACAAACTTGCACAACGGCACTACCACCCTGCAATGAAAGAAGGCGTGACCAATGGTCTCGACTTCCCCAATACAGCGACGGCAGTTTGGAGATTTCTCCAAGCCCACTAAACAAAGTCTTTTGGGGGCCCAGAGGGCCCCACGAATCACCAGCCAGGTGAGTGATGCCTTATCGTTATTGAGGCATTTCAACCCAGGCGCCCAATCGAGCGAGCCTCCTGCTTCGTAAGACCGAGCTCGTCAGTTAGATCATCACGAACGGACCCCTTGACTAATAGTTGATACAATGCCCTACGAGACAACGCCTGGACGTTGGAGAGGACATCCGACGCCCATAAGAGTCGTTTCAGAGCACGACGACATTTGCGGTAGAAGGAGCATTCGGCTCGGAGTGTACGGCCGGCCTGCTCCTCGCACACTTCTCAGGGATGGAAAGTTTCGACAGATGTCTTCCTTCCAGAAGGCGCCCTCCTCATCCGATTCGAGACACATTCGGTCTAGGAAGGCGATGTGAAGCATATATTGACGAATCTCAATGCTAGGCATACCCAGACCGCGCTCAGATGGATGAAGGCAACAGATCTCCCGAGATACCATAGTGGCCTTGTCTCTCCACAAGAAAGAGAACAAGAGCCTTACTAATGACATTAGTGTGGTATACGGAAGTGAAAGTACAGAGAGTCGGGTAGATGTGTGAAACACATACTTCCGCCCTCCCATTCAAGAAAAGATTCCTCCGAGACCACAGTTTAACCGCGATTTCGGCCTTCCGTTGTACCTCCGACCAATTCATTTTCAACTGGAGATCAGGACCGAATCAGACGCCGAGTATCTTGACCGGCCCATCCGTCCAGAGGAAAGGTCCGGGAAGAGAAACTCCCTTCCACGCACCCAACCGCAAGCCAACAGACTTATCGCGGTTGATTTTGGCCCCTGTAACCATCTCATACCCACTGATCTCTTTGCTGACTTCGTCAATCTCGGCTCTGCTCGACACAAGAACCGAAACGTCATCAGCATAGGCAGAATACCTGGCTGAGGTGGTAGCCCCAGACAGGGAAATTCCTGCAGGACCGGATTCGCCTTTAACTTGCGAAGGAAAGGTTCCAACGCAAGAACGTAAAGCAAAGGCGAGAGCGGACAACCTTGACGAATGGAGCGAGACAATACTAAAGGCTCCGATCTTACCCCATTCACTTCCACCAGCGCACCGGGGGTCGCATACAAAAGTCGGATCCAGGAGCGAAAGTCGGGTCCGAAACCGGCCGCCGAAAGGACAGCCTCCAGACGATGGTCAAACCTATCAATCAGTGCGGCTTCACTGTCGACTGTCCAGTTGTTAAAAATCAGTTCCAGCAAAGGAACAAAAACGGGCGACTGCCCCAAGTAAACTTCGTAGGGAAGACCATCTAGTCCCGGAGATTTATCCAGCTCAACCTGTTTCAGCGCTTCCCAGATTTCCGACTCTGTGATGGGACCCTCGCACCCAGCTGCTTCAGCTGCCTCAAGGCAGAGAAAGTCGGCTAAATAGGCGTCGAACTGAGCAGGGCTAAAACCGGGCTCCATGGTGAAAAGTTCCTGAAAGTAATCCCGAAAGGTCTCACATATGCCCGCGTTTGTAGTCACGGTCCGCTTATCTGGCAATGTGACGCACGCGATATGTCACCGAGACGCGCTCCGATTTTCCTCTGCTCGCAATTCAGCGGACATATTCGTCGCCTCAAAGGACATTCTTTTTAACCTAGCCCTAACTACCAGAGTTTGATCCTTCTTGATAAGCAAGGAGGACAACTCTGCCTTAGCTAAGGCTATTTCCCCACTAACACGGGATTTCACTGCCCGATCAACTTTTTGTTCTAAAGCAGTTTGCGCCGCTAATATATCTAGATGGAGTCGACGACTAAAATCGGCAGCAAACGTTCTAATTTTGGATTCCCTACAACCACCCCTGTCAATTCCCTCTGTATCATTAGTAGCAGCTGGTCCCGGAAATCTTGCTCACCAAATAATGAGCAGTTTAATTTCCAGTAGCCAGCCATCCTAACCTTAGACTTATCTAAGTTTACACGGACCCGGACAAGCCTATGATCCGAATAAACTATATAATGGAAACTTGGACACCCTAAGAGCCCTACATCGACTCTCCTAACAAAGACTCGGTCAAGGTAGCTAGCAAGCGTCCCAGGAGCCGAGTTGCCACTATTTGTCCAAGTCCATGCTACCTCCCGAGGGTACTCATTCTGATACTCATCGACAAGATCAAACCCGTCGATAAAGTCCCGAAATGGTTTCACATCCCGGTTGTTAGTACCCAGATGTTGCCCGATACGATCTATATCGGGGTCAAGGATGGCATTCCAATCCCCCGCTAAAACTACCCGATGAGATGTCGTCAAGAACGGCTCGATCTGCCGAAACAAAGCAGAACGCTCAGAATCGTTATTGGGCGCATAAACT